CCCCCCCCCCCCCCCCCCCCCCCAGCAGACCAGGGACACAGGGAGCAAAGCAGCAGCAGGGGGTGCCTTGCCTCTGAGGCTTTGCTCTGGCACGGGACCGCTTTGCTCCTGGTGCCCCTGGTTTGCTGGAGACGGTCCCCAGCAGACCAGGGGCACCACTAGCAAACCCGCCAGGGCTGCAGCTTTGCTCCCGATGACCCTAGTCTGCTGGAGACGGTCCCCAGCAGACCAGGGGCACCGGGAGCAGCTTTTCTCGCCCTGGAGTTCGAGGTGGCTGACCGCTGCCTGTGAGCTCCGGGGCGAGAAAGCCCCGTTCGTAAGTGCGGATCTGACATAAGTCGGATCCGCGTAAGTCGGGGACTGCCTGTAGATTACTAAAGTAGACTGTGGACTCCCCATCATTGAAAGTTTTTAAGAACTGTTAGGCATATATCTGTCAGAGATCATATTAAATATACTCATTTCTGCTTCAGCACAGGGATGGACTAGAATTAGATAATCTCTTGAGGATTCTTTGAGACCTACATTTCTGTGAGAAAAATCTAGCTTGTTAGATGGTAAATTATAGTTAGTCTTCATTGTCTCACTAATATACTGCAGTTTTCACTAAACTTCAGTTCTGCAGGGCTTTTGTGGGTGGGCTGCGTTGTTTCCTGTTGAAGACTTGTTTAATACAGGTTGCACCTCCCTTAATCAGGTGTCTTTTGTTGAGCAACATCTGTGGTCTGGTATGACCACTGATGTTCCTGAATGAGAGAACCTTGGAGCAGGAGGCCAGCAGCTGGGAGCTCGGCAAATCTGGTGGCAGTAGGGCCACAATAGCCAGGGGAGTGGCGGTGCCAGGGCAGTCTGGGCAGTGATGGAACACTATCTTGGCTGCCTGCTGCCTGGCAGTGGGGCCAGGGCTGCAGCTGCAGCAGCCTGGGAGGGGAAATCTGGAAGTAGCGGGGCTGGGCCACATACCACCAGGCAGCAGAGCCACAGCTAGGACTGGTCAGCAGGCGGCCTGACCAGACTGATGTATACAGCAGTGGGGAGGACAAGCAAACTGAAGGGCTGGTGTCAGGGGATCTCCCGTTGTCTGGCAAATTCCCTTATACAGGATCGATCAGGTCCCAAGGGTGCCAGACCAGAGAAGTTCAACCTGCAATAGTTCACTCCTTTTCTGCTAACTCATGGATGATACCCAGATCTAGCTATTCATTTGACATGTGTTTTGGTGAAAATTCTTTTGTACAGAAAATTGTATCAATTACACTTTTAATAACAATTTAAGGAAGAATGTCTGTATTTTAAGATTTTCAGTCAGGTATTACTGGAGTCATGTCTCTTGCTTTCTCTCTCTCAGATTTCCATTTTGGATTCAAAAAGAAGTATGAATATTGGGATATTCCTCAAACAATTCAAAAAGTAAGCTTTCCTTCTTTATTCAATTACATAACCCAAGCTTCAAATGTTGGTCCTGATTTTAGCAGGGCATTGGACTCAATGACCTCCTGAGGTCTCTTCCAACCCTATGATTCTATGAAATCAAATAGTTACACAATGAGTCATATGGGAAATAAAGAAGACACTGTCATAATGGAATAGAAAAGGCGATGTTTCTTTAGTTTAGATTCTGCACAAATTTGTCAAATAACTGCAATTCATAGTTTAAGCAAAAACATGTTTATCTGGGTGCCACTTTGACTTACATCTTGTATACTAGAGAACTCAGTTTGATTGTTGCCTTGCCAGTTGAACTGAAGTTTCATGTGCAGTAAGAGAAAGCTGTAAACTCTCATGTAATTCAATGTGAGATGGTCTTCATTTTGTTTCCTCTCTTTACAAAGAAAGAATGGAATGTGGTGAGATTCCCACATCTAAGCCATTCTTTTTATGTGACAAATCTGAGGCACTGTCCCAGTGTGTTAGAGGAATCAAACGGATAAACAATAAAAAATCACCAGGACCAGATGGTAGTCACGTAACGGTTCTGAAGGCACTCAGATAAGAGATTGCAGATCTACTAACTTAGTATCTAATCTGTCTTTTAAATCAGCCTCTGGTACCAGATGGCAGGTAGATTGCTAATGGAAAACCAGTGTTAAAAATGTACTAGAGGTGATCCTGGCAATCACATGTCAGTAAACCTAACTTCAGTACCAGGCAAACTGGTTGAAACCATCGTAACAAACAGAATTATTAGACAGAGATTAATGTAATATGTTAAGAAAGAAAGGCAATATGGCTTTTGGAAAGGGAAATCTTGCCTCACTAATCTTACATTTTTAAAGGGGTCAACAAACGTGGATTGGCTACAGCAGAGCTACTCAACTTTGGAAGCCCTGGAGCCCACAATGATACAGCACATGCCGAAGGCCACAACTTAAGTCTCGTTGCATATACATGCAAATATATATGCAATTATATGCAAATAGCTTCTTTCACACTAACCAGCATGAATATAAAGATTAAGGCAAGATTACACAACACGCAGGCCCCATTTAAATCAGTTCTGCTGATATTAATAAAATGCAATATTTATTCGATTTCCACCCATATGACAGCACTTTTAATGAGCAATGACAGTCCAGAAATGTAACTACTAAAATGCAGATCAACAGAAACCCATTACGTTAACTCACCGTGGTGGAACGTGTTCCTAGTGTAGGCCATATTCAAAGAATCCCACCTGCGGGCTGCGTGTTGAGCCCCGTGTAAACTCAAATTGCACCGCAGGCTGTGGAAGTTGATTAAAACAACTCAGTTTAGAAAAGATATGACTAAGCTGGTGGGAAGATATAATAGAAATTTTATAAAAATCATGAATGGGGTAGAGAAAATGAATAAGGAAGCATTATTTACCCCTTCACATAAAACAAGAGCCAGGAGGCATCCTATGAAATTACTAGACAGCAAGTTTAAACAAAATGATGTACCGCTTCACACAATGACAGTCATGCTGTGGAACTCATTGCTAGTGGCTATTGTGAAGGTCAAAAGTATGACTAGATTAAAAAGAATTAGATAAGATCATAGAAGACAGGTCTTTCACTGGCTTTTAGGCCAGGGATGCAACCCAATCCAGGTGTCCGTAAGCCTGACTGCCAGATGCTGGATAAGAACGCATGACTCAGTAATTGACCTGTTCTGTTCATTCCATCTGAAGCATCTGGCATTGTCCGTTGACACAACACAGAATACTAGGCTACATGGACCATTGATCTGTCTCAGTATGGCCGATCTTTGGAGATGAATACACTTTTTAAGCGCAAGCCAGTGGTGGTGTGCCTCTTACGCACTGATTAGAAAATTGTTTTTCAGGAGAGACATTGCTGAATGTTGCTTTAGACCCGCGGTGTCCAACCAGTTCTGAAGCTATAGCAAATTAGCCACTCTCAACCAGCCGAAGAGCCACATTGTTCAAGCCAATTAGCCACATTCAACAGCAAATAGCCACATGTGGCTAGTAGCTGGCATATTGCACACCATGGCTTTTGACTAATGTTGAGGTGAACACTGATGCGTGGCTAATTAAAATTTTGTGCATAGCAGAGGTGTGTTTTTTCTCCAGTGTGTAACTGCTGAAATGTAATTGATTAATTGTGTGTTAAAGGCCTGCTGAATCCATAATTGAAGATATTAGTAAAGGAAAAGGTGATTTCTATGGATCTGAGATGCTGCGTGAATTCCTTAAATTATTGCCAGAAGCAGAGGAGGTAAGTAAGAGCTTTTACTTAGTGGCTATTTTTGTGGCAGAGCTGTTGTTGCCTGGGAGTCCTCAGAATAGCTTAGTTTCTCTTTAAAAGGGGCCTCAAAAATCTCTGGCGATCTGTGGATGAAAAAAGCATTAAGTGCAAATATGTGGTCTATAGGTGACAACATACTTGCTTGCGATACTAAGGACAGTCTTAAATCTTAATCATTCCCTACCTACTAAGTAGTTAAACTTTTCATTTGTTGGCACATCTTAATTAATGCACTGATAAGGTGGCTTTGTTTCTTAGACGTATTCTATTAAGTTACGACCTGTAAATTACTGTCAAACATTCTTTCAGCAGGTGCAGAAGTTCTACGGTTGGAACCAAACGCAGTTGCCCAGAACCTTCATTTAAGCTATGTCTAGACTACAGGGTTTTGTAAAAAAAAGCGGGCCTTTTTTTTTTCGAAAAAAACTTCACCTGCGTCTAGACTGCCATCGTGTTCTTTTGAAATTAAATCAAAAGAACGTGGTGGTTTTCACGACAGCAGTAAACCTCTTTCGAAAAAAGGCATTCTTGACCACAAACAAGGCTTTTTTGAAAGAGAGCGTCCAGATTGCCTGGGTGCTCTCTTTCAAAAAAGCAGCTCGCTTTTTCAAAAGACTTGGGGCTGTCTAGAAGATCTCTTTCGAAAGAGGCTTTTTTGAAAGAGCTCTTTCGAAAAAGCCTCTTTCGAAAGAGGCTTGTAGTCTAGATGTTCCCTTAGAGTGCTGTTTGTTTCTGTGCTGCCTTAGTGATCCACAATCCTAAAGGTACCAATTTGTCTGCTAAACTTATGTCAACTGTCCACACAAGCTCTATAAAAGCAGTTTTTAAAACCAGGAAATTGGCAGTTAACATTCGGACCAAGGAGTATTGATTTAAATCAAAGTGATTTAAATCACCATAAATAATTAATTGATTTAAATCAAGTTAGCAAAAAAGCTAAGACAGATGTTTTTAGAGTGTCCTTAATTTTGGAATAAGCTCCATTGAACTCACGGTGTCTTCTGTTTTTGAGAAAACAAGTATACAGTGGGGTTCTCTTGGAAAAGCTGAGTTATGCTGAAGTAAAATAGGGAATAGCACTTATGGATGGCATCACCATAATGTTCCAAAATAAGGGATATGCATTCCGCATTATAAAATAAGAAAATAACAGTCAGTGGCAACTGGCAACTCTAGATTTCTCTTCCTGCACATTTTTGTATTGTACTTGAGTGACAGATTCTAAACCTAGTTAACTAATTAAACAAGCTGTAAGGATTAGCTAAGCTAAACTTTTTTTCTAGGAACATCCAACACAGTAAACAGCTTGGGAATTTACTTGTTAAATCCCACTTATACTAAAAGGCATAGAGAGAGCCTTGAAAAATGCTGCATTGCAGAGTAAATTATTTAAGTTTCTAGCCAGTTGATCCACTCAGCCATATCTACATCTTTACATCATTTTCTCCCAATAAGCAGTTTTCCTTATGAGGTTTCATTCTTGCAACTAGGCCCTGCATCACCTTCTTGGACTGCTTACTAGAGATGTAAAAATACATTAAAAAATGTAATCATGTGGCTGCTAAAAATCATAGCAATTCCACAGTTACATGTGCTGTGGGCTCTGCAGTATAAAACTTAAATAAGCTTTATACTGCAAAGCCTGCAGTGAAGCCGCCCCGGGAGCGGGGCTGGCAAGGACTGTTGCCTTGACTCCCAGGGAGCCTTCACTGTGGGCTCTCCAGTCAGCATCCCAGAAGCGGAGCTGGCAACCTCTGCCGACCCTGCTCCCAGAGAGCCGGTGTAGTGGGGGAAAGAGGATGGTTGGCTTGCAATGGACAGGGGCTACTCTGGCAGGCCCCACGGTGCTGGGGCAGCCCCCTGCTTGGGCCATGTGGGAGCTGCTCCAGCCCCTACCTGTTAACTGGAACCAGTAAGCCTCACCCATTAAAGGTGAGGCTTACTGGTTATCCGGTTAATCTTTTCATCTCTACTACTTACACTTAACATGTTTTCCTTTTTTATCCTGACAATGAATATAATCAAAATATTCCCAGATAGGGTACCTCTTATGCCCAGAAGCCATTACAGTTTTTCTGTGGCAAAAACATTTGGGGAATATAGGAAGCTGTGTGTGTGCTAAGTAATATCTTCCCTTTTTCTTTCCAGTCCTCTCCACTGTCCCTTTGTATGCTGCCTCCATCCTTTCCTCTATATTGTCTGTCTTTAAAACAATGCCTTTACTACTAACTCCTCTGCAGCGCTTGGCCAAGGTCCACCAGCACATGAGCACACAACAAAAACAATCCTATCCAGCTTGTCTTTCTTTGCACAATACTTTTTAGTCTACTGAGAAACAGAAATTGAAAGCCCAGAACTTAGAAGGAGCAAGAACTAGTAGCTAGGCTGGACAGACTAGAACCATTATTTTTTTTTGAGACTGTAAGTGTAGGTGTAGCATGTTTGTGATGAGATTTAAATGTAACTGTTACTTTTAAATGAGAAATTTAGTATTTTATTGATTTTTCAAAACATAACAAATAGCATTTCAATATCCTAATATTTAAATGCTTAACAACTTGCTCAGTCAACAAACATGCTTTCAGTTCAAACATGTAACCAACATCATTACACATCTCTGGTTAATTGTACTCAAACACAGGCCCTTAACCCATGCTAGTTACTTTGGCATGTGCACAGATAACATGTATAGCTGTAAGGTCTATAACTTTGAGAGGGAATATATATGATCTAAAGATGACGTTAAAGGGATTTGTATGTAAAGGGGCTCTGTCAATTTGAAATCTAGTTAGTTTAATTTTAAAGTAGAGTTCAAAGTAGTTTAGGGTGCTGAAATTAAAATGCTGGCATGGCTATGGCAATGTAGCTATGCTGGCTTAGTACTGTAGTCATAGTCTCAAATAGATTACCCATGACCTACTCTATCAGTTGTTCTTACCCAGAAGGTCTGATTGGCTTTGGCACCTGTATTCCTCCTTTCGGGAGTTTGTAATAGTGACAAAATAGTCTTTGAAATAGGAATAAAGGAGAGAGAGAGAGAGAGACGAGAAAAAAGGGATTTATAACAGAATTTAAAACAAAAAAAAAAGAAGGGAGAGGAAAAAAAAGGACCTATCAACCATAGTGTCAGTGCTTGGAAGTGTCCCATACCTAGCTTTTGATGTCAATGAGGTGTTAAATATAAGGAAAGCTGGCTTTATAATGGGGCATCCAGTTAATGTGTTTGTTCAGGCCAAAGGAAACAATGCCAAATTTGCATCTGAAAGCGAATTCTGTACTCTATCTCTGTAGATGGCTTGTGAAATTCCTTTGAAGAAGAATGGCTACTTTTAAATCCATGATTGAGTGCCCAGGCAGTTTAATATGTTCCCCTACCAGTTTATGTGTGTTACCATTTCTGATATCTGATTTGTGTCCGTTTATCCTTTGTTGTAGAGCCTGTCCAGTTTGGTCAGTATACATGGCAGAGGGGCATTGCTGGCACTTGATGGCATATATCACATTAGAAAATGTGTAGTTGTATGAGCCTCTGATGTTGTGGCTTACGTGTTAGGTCCTGTGATGGTGTCACTTGTATAAATCTGTGGACAGAGTTGGCAACAGGGTTTATTGCAGAGGTAGGATCCTGGGTGTGTCTGGGGTGTGATGTGTGGCTGCTGGAAAGAATTTGCTTCAGGATAGGATGTTGTCTGACAGGTGCCATAGAACTAAATGCAGCAGGGTTTAAATATCCTGCATTTCATTTGCATAATCGCATAATGGCACTCTTTTGAAAAAGCTCCATTTCAAAAGTAAAACCACGGTCTAGATGCAGTTCTGTAGAAAACGGCAGGCTTTTTCGAAAGATGTGGAGTACAGGATCTTTCTAAAAAGCCTGCCATTTTTGACAGAACTGCATCTAGACCCCGGTTTTACTTTTGAAATGGCGCTTGTTTGAAAGAGCGCCATGACGCGATTATGCAAATGAAACATGGGATATTTAAATCCCCGCTTCATTTGCAATTTCGAAGTGTCTAATTTACATCCCTTTGTTGAAAGAGGGATGTAGTCTAGACACAGCTTTACTGTCTGAAGAAGTGGGTTTTGCCCACGAAAGCTCATGATACTATACAAGGAGACCCTGCTATAAGTCGCCCCAGTATACATCCATTCCACACTAAAGTCATTGACATTTGTAGGAACTCATACATTATAAGTCCTCCCATTCCCCTCTATAAGTTGTGCGAAACACTCCCCCCAATTTGTTTAAATGGAAGTCAGCCATGGAAAAAAATTCCCCACTTTACGTTGTTTTGCTCTAAGTCCAAGTTTTTTGGAACGTATCTTGGATTTATAGCGAGGACTCCCTGTATACATTTTTGTTAATCTCTAAGTTGCCACAGGACCACTCATTGTTTTTAAAGTTATGAACTAACACAGCTACCCCTCTGAGACCTACATCTTAGTTTGATTTCTCCCCCCCTCCTCTTAACTATTTTAGTCCTTCAGATCTTCTGGTTCCCAAGCCTTTTTTGGTTCTGGCATTGTCTGTCAAGTGTTTGTTGAAAAGTAGCTTATCTTATGCTATTGTTCTTCCCCTTCCTGTTTTGTTTGTTTTTCCTTATAGCCCCCATGGCATCCTAGTAACCAGGGCAACACAGTATTCATACATTATTACAGAACAACTCCAATTTCGTGACATATTACTGTGAACTTTGTTTTGCTTGCATACAATATATGTAATCAAGTTAGGGTTGCCAGGTGTCCAGTTGTGAACCAGACAATCCAGTACTTGAACTTTCTGTTTGGGAAACAAATTGTGAAAATATAAATGAGAAAATATAAATGTCTGGTATTTTCTAAATAAGATGTAATGTAGATTGTGATGTAATGTCAAGTGTGTCCGGTATTTTTGTTGAAGCCATCTGGCAACCCTAAATCAAGTTATCACTTGCACCTAAGCAAACACAAACTTTTTTATTTTAGTGGTT